AGTCACGTTTCACTAGAAAACGCATCAGTTGGTCATAATTGGAGGTCAGATTTATTCCTGTTCCTGCTCACTTCCTGAATGATTCAGACTGTGAAGAACAAGATTTAAAAGCGAAACATTTTCAGTCTGTCGGGTCGTTGTGTTTCATGGAGGAACATTTTGTCTCCATTTTCTCTGTAACGTTCAATGGAAAACTCCCTGAAATACGAAGCTCCCTTCTTTGGGCTTGTCTCACTGAACCGGTTTCTGATCTGATTTAAAACACATGTGGACAGAATCTCTGGAGAAGCAGAAACCAGGAAACACAGGAAGCTTTAAAACATGAGAGACGAGCAGAAGCCGAGTCCTCTTCTCCTCTTCTCTTCTTCCTCTTCTTCTGCTTGTGTGTGTGTGTGTGTGTGTGTGTGTGTGTGGGGGGGGGGGGGTCCTTGTTAAAATCAGCTGTTTCTGTTTTCAGGTTTTGAAACACAATAAAACATGAAACATTTCTAAAATGAGGTTTGATACATTTTCTTCTGATGTTTGTGGGGAAAAAATATTTACCAACATGATGTTGATGGAAAATAGTAAATATTAGTCTTGCTGGTGTCACTCTGTTGTGAAATTGAATGCAGTTTTTGCTCCAGATAAATGTCTGCAGTTTTCTGCTTGCTGCCACCACAGCTGGATCTCAGCAGGAGGCTGTGGTATAGTTAAAGTCCAGGAGCTCAGAGGACGGAATGAGGAAACGGGTTTATTGGTGCAGCAATGCTGCCACCTGCTGCTGACTGTAGAGATGACAGGCTGTCTATACCTGGATTGAACATATTAGTGATATCAATACATTTCAACGGATCCATGTTTTCCCAAGAGAAAAAGACCTGAACTTCCGGAAAATATTAAAACATATATGAACTGATTGGAGGCAGCAGTGGAGGGTCATGTTGATCCTAAACTGTTTTACTGCTCCAATAATCTCTTCCATATGTGAACATATAAATAAATCATTTCTGTGGGATTTATTCATGTTTTCCAATGAAAATATGTAGAATAAAAAACTGATCTTTGCATGATGAACTCCAGGTTCAGGTAAAGTCTTACCTGATGTTCTGAATATTTCAGAGACGCTGGCCCTTTAAGAGACTCCCTGTCGCCTTGGTTACCGTGCCAACCGGGAAGTTTCGCCAAATATCTTTAGGACGTGAACAGAAGCTGGAGTTTGTGCTTTTTCCTCTCACTGCCCAGATCTTACCTTCAGCTCTGACCTTTGACTCTCCACCGGAGGAAGGTGAGCAGAGAACCGGCTCCGTTCATTCCGTTAGCCTCCGTTAGCGTCCGTTAGCCGCCGTTAGCCGCCATGCTAACCGTGTAGGTCTCCGTGCTGAAGCTGTCTTTCTGAACAGAGTTCACTTGAAGCCAAACGGCTCATTAAAATGAATCGGTTCTTTTCCCAGGGCTGCTTTAAACCTGCTTTAGTGCGTGGAGTCGCTGTCCGTGGTGCTGACCGCGGCCACCAGACGTCATGCAGGAGATCGCTTCATTAAGATACAATCAGCTGCCGGTCGCTCAGCTCGCTGCTTCTCAAGACACTGAAAACTGATTTTAACACAATATTTCATCAGTAAAAATTCGGCTCGTTTGTGAACGTTTTGCTTAAAACGTGAAGTATTTAACCCCCTGGGATCAATAGAGTACATTTGAATTGAGTTGAACTGAACGAAGTCAATATTCAGTTCAGTTCTAAGGGAAATGAAATGTCGTAACTCATGACGTCATCAGGTTTTTGTCTCCAGAGATGAGCCAGGTGGACGGCAGCAGACAGCCGGTCTCCTGCACAGTCAAACCTCCGGTCTACCTGCAGATCGGAGAGCCCAAAGCGGAACCGGGTCAGTCCGGGGTCTGTGTGCTCGATGTCCCCCTCCCCTTTGGGAAACCAGTCAGTGTAAGTCAGACACACAACAGAAACAGTAAATTATCAATCATCCTCCCAGAACCTCACGCTGCTCTGCTTCAGGCTGAGCAAACCAAACTAAAGGTTTTTGGTTCTCCAGAGAAACAAGCTGCTGATTGACAGACGAACAGAAATGAACTGTTCATTTCTGAACAGCTAAACAGGAAACCAGAGGTTCCCTCAGCTGGACTGGGAACCTCATGTTCACCTCTGCAAAGTTTTTACAGTGTTTAAAAAGTTCAGAGCGCTGAAAGAAAGGAGCATTCGTCCAAAGTTTCTAAATTCAATCGGTTTGTTTTCAATGAGTTTTTGGCGTTCAGACGTCCAGCAGGAAGTTGTGCTGCAACAGTGGAGATCAGGAGATCTGTCTGCCCAGAAAACTGGTCGTCCTTCTGTTGGACTCAGCAGCTCTGACCTGCTTTTCAGCATTTAGCTGTAATTACAAACAGCTTCGATGCAGAGTGGCTCCTCTTCACCTCAGAGCTGCAGAGATCCTGCTATTTAATCCCAGCGAGTTTGTCCAGGCGCTCAGTTTGGGCTGCTTCTGTGTTTGTTTCCACTGTCTGTCTGCAGGTTGAGGAAATCACCTTTAAGAACTACTACACCGCCTACGTCACTGTGCGTTTGCTGAGGAGGGCTTCTGGGCAGGAAGGGCCGACCAAGTGGGTCACGGCTCTCCGAGACCTGCCGCTGATGGACAACCCGCACACAGAGAGAGGCTCCCAGGATTACTACTCCATCCACAGGAAGCAGGTGGGTCACGGCTTTATCGATGAACATCCACTGACCCAAAGTCTGATTCAGACTCAGAACAGACGAGAGGCAAAGCGTCTTCCTCAGACAGCAGCGATGAAGAGTCTCTGGTTCCACTGGGTTTTAGTTTCTGCTTCTAATCAATCTGATTGGATGATGGAAAACAAATTAAGCTAAAAGGAGTTAGCCTATCAGTGAAGCTATGCTAGCCCAAAATAGCATTTCAATGCTAAAGATGTAGCCGCTAACACTAAGCCAAAGAGAATCCTGAAACTCTGGAAAGATGAATGAAAGAAAAACACTTTATTATCCTGAATATGTAGACCAGACGGACATAAACTACATCGTACGTGAATGAATTTAACCAAATTTGTCTGATAAGTTTGTTATTTTAAAATACTGGGATGAGTGAACCAGAAACAAGCAGATGATCAGATTTTAAAGTTTGTTTTATCTCAGATCTTCATCTGTGAGATTTTTACTTCATCCAGAGTGTAAATATAAGGAAACATTCGGTCAGTGAAGGTATGTGTGAAGGTGTGTGTGAAGGTGTGTGTGAAGGTGTGTGTGTGTGTGCAGCTTTCCTCCATCCCAGTCCAGATCCTACTCGAATCCTGTGGATCTTTTTCTGGGCTGATAGATCTGAGGAGGAACCTGGAGAACAAACTGATAATCCATTTTCTGTCAACATCAATCCCCATAATCCAGACTGTTAGTTTCCCTTCCTCTGGTCAGATTCTGCTAACACACCCAGAGTCCAAACCTCACTGTCTCCAACATCAACATCCCAGCTGTGGATCCCGGAGTTAAAACCCTGAGAGCCGAGAACGGACCACCAAACGTCCAACCGCTCCGGATTATCAGGCAGCTGCTGCCTCCGTCCTGCTGTCACAACGCTCAGATCTTCAGACAGCAGGAGTTCTGGATTCGCCGTGTTTGGGTCCAGAACCAGAGGAGTGTAGGTCACCATGTCCTTCATGTTGCTCCAGATGTTGAAGGCCAGGTTGCCCAGATGTTTGGCCTGGTCTATCAGAGCTCCTGAGGGCAGCTGTGGATCCTCCAGCAGGGGGCAGCGCTGGACTCTTTCCACTGCAGCCTTGTAGTTGTGCAGGAATGAGACGTCTTCAGCTCTCAGCTCCTCCTCTGTGGCTCTGACTGTGTCTGAAAGAGCTGCTATCTCTCTGCTCAGAGCCCATCTTCTCCTCCATCATCCCTCTCTTCTGCTCCTCTTCCTCCCTCAGTGCAGCCAGCCTGGCCTCCTCTTCCTCTGCTAGAAACTGATGAAGCTTCTTAAACTGCTCAACAATCTGCCTCTCTGTGTGTCGGGCCTGGACCATCATGTGTTCTGCTGTCTGATCAAACTCCTCTTTAACTTCCTTCTTCTGCTCCAGTTTCTTCTTTAAAGGCTCCAGAGATGTTTTCAGATTCTCTCTGTGATCCTGAGCAGCTTCATCGATGGCTCTGAATCTGTGCTTGATGTGTTTTTCTGAATCTCTGCAGACGAGACAAACTGGCTGCTGATGGTCCAGACAGAAGAGTTTGAGTTTCTCAGAGTGCAGACTGCAGAGACTCTCTGAAGCTTTTGCTCTCTCTGCTCTAAGAATGATTCACAGAGTCTTCAGAGCCGGATTTAAAGTCGGTTCCTCTCTTGAAGATTTCCTCTTGCAAACTGGACACTCTCCTGCTGGTTTCTGTCTCCACCAGTTCTTCAGACACTCCTTACAGAAGCTGTGGCTGCATGACAGAACAACCGGATCCTTAAAGCCGTCCTGACAGACCAGACAGCAGAGATCCTCCTCTGGTCTGGAAGCCATTTTGTCTCTGAGTGAAGCTGAAACCCAGTCCGTCAGGCTCGCTCCCTCGCCGCGTGTTTTTATTTCCGTCCTGCAGCTGGATTTACTCAGATGAAGCAGTCAGTTTGTTCTGACGGTGAATCTGATCGTCTCTGTTTTACAAGCTGCTTCCTGTTTCCCCTCAGGTGAGTCAGAGAAGGGGCGGAGCTAAAACCTGTTAGACTTCCTGTGAGGATCTTTGTTTAAACCTGTAGCTGAGGTTTTTCCTTCGTCTCCTTGTAAGTGTGTCTGAAGCTGCATTCAGACAGCTGAGCTTAGTAACGATGGAGAAACTAAGATGAATGTTTCTATCGTTGTGCCATAATGGCACAGAGTTGCCACATATTGTGAGATCAGCATTAATATCTGGTGAAGCTCAGTGTGACTCATTACTGATTAATGTTGGAATAACAAACTGATCTACCAGCTGATTGGTTGATGGATGGGCAGACGGACGTTTTTAGACTTTAGGAACTGAAATCATCTCTTTAGTGAGATTCGCTAATTTGTTGCCTCCCCAGGTTTTTAGTTTCTGTCGTGCTGCGTTCACTGTAACCTGGACATCAACGTTAACCTTCCCATATAAACGAATGTTGGAAATGCTCATTTGGAAATTCATCATCTTCAGGACTGTTTCTCCAAGTAGAACTCGGGTCATTGTTCAGATAAACTGAGGTCCAAAGTTTCCCTGTTTAGCTTTTTTTCAGTTCTGATAAACACTGATTAATATGTGTGAGGAAGTAATACTTCCTGCAGGACAACGGGCTAACTGCCAGCTAACCCAGCTAACTGCTGGCTAACTTCCAGCTAACTCCTGGCTAACTCCCAGCTAACTCCTGGCTAACTCCCAGCTAACTCCTGGCTAACTTCCAGCTAACTCCCAGCTAACTGCCAGCTAACTCCCAGCTAACTCCTGGCTAACTTCCAGCTAACTCCTGGCTAACTCCCAGCTAACTCCTGGCTAACTTCCAGCTAACGCCTGGCTAACTTCCAGCTAACTCCTGGCTAACTTCCAGCTAACGCCTGGCTAACTTCCAGCTAACTCCTGGCTAACTCCAGCTAACGCCTGGCTAACTTCCAGCTAACGCCTGGCTAACTCCCAGCTAACTCCTGGCTAACTTCCAGCTAACGCCTGGCTAAATTCCAGCTAACTCCTGGCTAATTCCCAGCTAACGCCTGGCTAACTTCCAGCTAATGCCTGGCTAACTCCCAGCTAACTCCAGGCTAACTTCCAGCTAACTCCAGGCTAACTCCCAGCTAACTCCTGGCTAACTCCCAGCTAACGCCTGGCTAACTTCCAGCTAACTCCTGGCTAACTCCCAGCTAATGCCTGGCTAACTTCCAGCTAACTCCAGGCTAACTTCCAGCTAACTCCCAGCTAACTCCAGGCTAACTTCCAGCTAACTCCAGGCTAACTCCCAGCTAACTCCCAGCTAACTCCTGGCTAACTCTTAGCTAACTCCAGGCTAACTCCCAGCTAACTCCTGGCTAACTCCCAGCTAACGCCTGGCTAACTTCCAGCTAACTCCTGGCTAACTCCCAGCTAATGCCTGACTAACTTCCAGCTAACTCCAGGCTAACTCCCAGCTAACTCCCAGCTAACGCCTGGCTAACTTCCAGCTAACTCCTGGCTAACTCCCAGCTAATGCCTGGCTAACTCCCAGCTAACTCCAGGCTAACTTCCAGCTATCTCCTGGCTAACTCCCAGCTAACTCCCAGCTAACGCCTGGCTAACTCCAGGCTAACTCCCGGCTAACTCTGTGCCCCTCAGATGCTAGTGGAGCCAGACCACGTGGTTTCGGTCCGGCTGATCCTGAGGCAGCCATCGTCTGCCTGGCTGAGCTTCAGCTTGGAGGAGATCAAAATTTTCCCTCACATGGAACCGGTCAGTCGTTACGTTTTTCTCTCTGTATGAGTTCTATAGAAGTCCAAAAACCAGGTGTGTTATTATTATCATTCTCTTGTCTGGTACAGGAGCCCCAGAAGGAGGTTTCTGATTGGCTGTCTGACCTGATTCTGGTCGACCAGCTTCCTGATGTAGAGGTACGCGCTCCGGCCCAAACACTTTGAATTCATGCGGAGACTCCTGATGAAAAGCTTGACGGGTTTTCATCTGGTCTGTGTTCTGCTGGCGTCCTGCAGGGCCTGCCGGACCCGCACACCGTTTCCTCCAGCATCCAGCAGATGTGGGCTCTGACCGAGGTCATGCAGACCAACCAGACCACAGCCTCCATCGGACGCTTCGATGTGAGTCCTTCGTCTCCGGTTCACTGTCAGCTCCGAGTATCCATCCCTGGAAAACAAACTGAAAACAACTTTCCATTTTAAAATGTTCCACTTTGGTAAAGAAACCAAACAGCCTCATGAAATCCTGAAGTTTTTGAGACGACTGACCTCACTGTGTGGTCAGCCTGACAGTAAGAGCTTTCTGAGGTGATCTAAACACAGATCCCTGAGGAACACCTCTGTGCCGCCGTGTGAGGCTGGCGACGCTCTCTGATGACGCTCAGCTGGTTTACAGCCTGGCACAAACTGGAAATAAAGGATGGGTTGTGTTTTATGTTCCTGCAGGTGGACGGATGTTATGACATCAGCCTGCTGTCGCTGACGTAACGCGGCTTTCAGAGCAACACACACTTCCTGTGTGAGTGGAGACAGAAGAGCGAAAACCGCTGCTGGTTTATCGCTTTGTGTCGTCATACATGATCATCATGATGCATCAGCAGAATAACTCCTCAGTCCTGATCCTGATCCTGGTCCACTTCTGGTTTTATTTGGACATTTCTCTCATTTTGTCTCTAAAATAGAAATGATCTTTCTTCTTCATTTGTTTTGGTGTTGTTAATAATTCAGACTGTTAAAGAGAAAAAAAATCATAAAACTGATCAAGTTAAATCAATTTTTCACAGGATTAACATTTAGATCCTAAATGAGGAAAATGATTCACTCATTTACATAATAAAAGGTTTTTGTTTCAGCATAAAATATCTACTGTTGATCTTTTTGAGCAAATTCAGTCGAATCTTAAATATTTATGTTTTCACTTTCAGGGTCAAAATGAATATTAAAATCCTCCACTGTGATGACGACATCATCGATAACACACACACACACACACACACACAGAGACACACACACACACACAGAGACACACACACACACAGAGAGGCACACACAGACACACACACACAGAGAGGCACACACACACACACACATAGAGACACACACACACACACAGAGAGGCACACACAGACACACACACACACACAGAGAGGCACACACACACACATAGAGACACACAGACACACACACACACAGAGAGGCACACACACACAGAGACACACACACACAGAGACACACACACACAGAGACACACACACACAGAGACACACACACACACAGAGAGACACACACACACAGAGAGACACACACACAGAGAGACACACACACACAGAGAGACACACACACAGAGACACACACACACACAGAGACACACACACACACAGAGAGACACACACACACAGAGAGACACACACACAGAGAGACACACACACACAGAGACACATAGAGACACAGTCCGTGTGTTCTGCTGAACGCCAGCAGAACACAGACCAGATGAAAACCCGTGTGAGTGTGTGTGTGTCTCTGTGTGTGTGTGTGTGTCTGTGTGTGTGTGTGTGTGTGTGTGTGTGTCTCTGTGTGAAACACACCGGCTCAGATCCTGCTGTTCTCCCGGTTCTGCAGGTCCAACAGATTCTGATTTTCTGAACTTGTCGTTTTGTGTTCGGTTGCTGCTGATGGAGATGTTGTCATGACACGAACAACATGTCAGCAGGTTAGACGTCGCTGTTGTTTCCTCTTGACAGAAGACGTGTCAGGAACGCGAGCCGCTCTCCGTCTGAAGCTGAAGTGGTTTTCATGCGGTGAAGTTTGTCTCTTTCTCATTAAGTCCTGCAGTCGTTCCTCTTCTCCTCGTCTTCCTGCCCTCCTCATTCGCTTTGATTTGATCTTTCCAACATCTCATCACTCACCCGCTGCAGCTCCTCACCTCAGAGTCATGAATCATTTATTCAGATGAGTCTGAGACAGCCGTGTCACCGGCCGCTCCAACAACCACAGGAAGAAAAAAGCGGCTTCATGCTGTGACTGGAATAACTGAAGAGACAAGTTTCACTCAGAGCAGAAACTTTACAGCTTCTTAATGCCGGGTCGTTCTCTGTGGAGGAAAACGTTTTGTCTCGTGTGACTTTGACCAGCTTCATGTGTTTCCTGGACTCAAAGCGTTGAACACTGAATGGAGTCAGATTTCTGTTCTGTTTTGGTGATTTGTAGGTTTTATTGTTGACTGAAACATTTTATATAGTGTATATTTCTGCACATTTTCCTGCAACGTTGATTTTCGTCCAACAGTTTCTGAGTTCATTCAGACATGAAGCTTCCAAACATTTCCAGTCCAACAAACTTCAAACCAGGAACACATGACTGCAGTTAAACTTTCATATTGTTCAACGTTTCAGTAAAGATTCAGTTCCAAAACCCAAAGAACTTCTCCTCAGGTTTTATCTTATGACCATTTCAGAACCACCAGAACCATCTGTGTGTGCTGCTGCGAATAGAACAGATCCTGACCCTAAAAACGAGAGACGGACCTGAAGCAGCCGATCTGTTCTGATCCATTCTGATCTGTTCTGATCCATTCTGATCTGTTCTGATCCGATCTGTTGTGATCCGATCCATTCTGAACCGATCCGGACCGATCACAATGATCCTGAATCTCTGCAGAAACCACCAGATTCAGAGCAGATGCTCTTTGGAGGTGATGGACACCAACCCAGGTTTTCCTGGACCAGGTGAGCTCCATCAGAACCACAGGACTGCTGTTCCAGATGCCGCCAGCAGGGGGCGTCTCCGCTGAAATCTGCAGAGGTTTTTATCCAAACAGGAATTCAGGAAGTTATTCTTTTTATTATTTCTCTTCATGTTGATGATTCTGTCTGACGGCTGCAGTGAAGATGAAGATGATGAAGATGGAGTCTGTGAACAAAACCGGACCGGACCTGCTCAGTGACTCGGATGCAGAAGAACCTCCAGAACCAAATTTGTTCAAACTGTTAAGTTTTTAGTCAAATGTTCATGAGACGCTGGTTGATATGATTTTATTCTTCCAGGTTTTGATCAGAGCAGGAACTGGTTCTGATTCTCTCCTGCTGCTGCAGATGAAGCTGATTTCCGGGGTCACCACACGGTGGCGCTGCTGCTCCTCACATCAGAACTGCGCTCCAACATTCCTACACTTTTCAGAGGATCAGGTCTGCTTTTTATGTCCAGATCGGAGAAAACACAGAAACTGGAGACACATCTAGAGACATCTGGACACATCTGGAGACATCTAGAGAGATCTGGACACATCTGGAGACATCTAGAGAGACCTGGACAGATCTGGAGACATCTAGAGACATCTGGACACATCTAGAGAGATTTGGACACATCTAGAGACATCTGGACACATCTGGAGAGATCTAGAGACATCTGGACACATCTAGAGAGATTTGGACACATCTAGAGACATCTGGACACATCTGGAGAGATCTAGAGACATCTGGAGACATCTAGAGAGATCTGGACACATCTAGAGACATCTGGACACATCTGGAGAGATCTAGAGACATCTGGACTGGTGATGTCCCCAGAATCCAGCAGTCGTCAGTCGATGAGCAGCACTCAGCCTCCGATGGAGGATCTGTCTCAGCCAATCAAAAAGCCTCCAATGAGATGCAGAACCAATCAGAGCTGCTCTCATTAGCTTCCTCTGCTGCTTTTATTGGTTTTATTTTTTGCTTCTTGACGATTCGCCACTGAGCAGAAACGATGTGATCTGTTAATCAGGAGGAAACTCGACCCAAAGCATCAGGATGAAACTGCTGGGCTGCTGAGGATGAAAAGGCAGAAAACAACGGAGAGAAGAAGAAATGAGGCGTCAGAGTCTAATCCCACATGAGCGTTTGGAGCTCTGAGTCTGCAGGGACAGCAGATCAGATTCTGCTGCGTCAGCCAAACCACCAACACACCTGCTTAGTCCAGATGCAACATTATTCTCACATTTCCTCCAGCTGGGCAGAAACCGCTGGAGGAGCCCAGAGGCGGAACCACCGGGGGATGGCGGGGGGACGGCGGGGGGACGGAGACCACGCAGAGCAACATGGAGGAGCCTTTGCTGCAGCTGCCGGAGTCAACATGCGGCTCCTCCCACCATGTCTGCAGCATCTGCAGCATCTGCTCATAAAAGACTTTCTGCAACAGAAACATAAAAATATTCCAAATCAATATTTTACTGCTCACTGTGTAAAAGGTTGTTTAGACTTTCTCCCCAGATATTCATGTCTGTCTCTCTGTTGGTTCTCTGTTCACCGACAAGGCAAACTAAAAAAGGCTTAAAAATGCAGCAGCTCAACAAGTTATAACGTAAACAGCCCATAACTTGTATTGGAGCCATTGGAATGAATCAATGTTTATGAGGAGTTTTTATTAAGAGCAGTTCCTCATCAAAGCTTTTTTATTTAGAACCTTAAATGTCTGTAAATGTGTAGCAGAGATTCGATCACCGGTTTTATTTCTCTGCAGAAAAACATGTTTGATGTTCATCAGAGTCATTTCTGCTCCTGCAGCTTGAATGTGATTTAAAAACTTTTAAACACATTTTACGTTACGTTTCACTGCAACTTCGCCGACCTCCCAAAGTTTGCTCTGAATGAATGTTCCTGTTGATGTGAACACGAATAAACAGTTTGATTTGTTCAGGTTTGTTGCTGCAGGTTCTTCAGTTCGTCTGAAACTGAAAATAAAATCAGACTTTCTCAGAAATTATGTTTATTGATGGAGAAAATCTGAACCTTTTTATCGCTGCTGATTGTTTAGTTTTGTTCGTTTCTGATTGGCTGCCTGTAAACTCAACACTCCTGATTCCAGGTTCTGATCATCGGAATTTAACCGGATATCTTCAACATTCTTTCTTTTTGCCTTCAGTTGAAGTGATGCTGCTAAAAGCTGCAGCTTCCAGTTTTAATCTGACGATGAAGAGACCAGAGATCCGATGTAATCCAGCCGAGGAAACATCTGGATTACACTGCAGAGTCTGAGACACGGTTCTGGTTCTGGTTCTGGTTCTGGTACTGGTTCTGGTTCTGGTACTGGTTCTGGTTCTGGTATTGGTATTGGTATTGGTTCTGGTTCTGGTACTGGTACTGGTTCTGGTATTGGTTCTAGTTCTGGTTCTGGTTCTGGTACTGGTACTGGTACTGGTACTGGTTCTAGTTCTGGTTCTGGTTCTGGTACTGGTCCTGGTTCTGGTTCTGGTTCTGGTTCTGGTTCTGGTTCAGGTTTTGGTACTGGTTCTGGTAGTGGTACTGGTACTGGTTTTGGTTCTGGTTCTGGTTCAGGTTTTGGTACTGGTTCTGGTACTGGTACTGGTTCTGGTACTGGTTCTAGTACTGGTTCTGGTTCAGGTTCTGGTTCTGGTACTGGTTCTGGTTTTGGTCCTGGTTCAGATTTTGGTACTGGTTCTGGTTCTGGTACTGGTTCTGGTACTGGTTCTGGTTCTGGTACTGGTTCTGGTACTGGTTCTGGTTCAGGTTCTGGTTCTGGTTCAGGTTCTGGTACTGGTTCTGGTTCTGGTACTGGTTCTGGTTTAGGTTCTGGTACTGGTTCTGGTTCTGGTATGCATGCTCGGTATGTTGCTGTAAAGTCAGTGACAGTCTGCTGTCGCCCCCTGCTGGTTAGGAGGACCGAATGTTCTGCTGGGTTTCATTAGAAACTTTTAAAACTAATTTGAACAATTACCTGAGATTAATCCTCTGATAACCAGGATTAAATGTTTGGGATTGGAATTAATTTTTTAAAGTTTCTCAAACCCACGTCATGAAGTAAATGCACTGAAAACCAGGTGATTATTTATCGTATCGTTTATTGTGATAAATTTATTCTAAGAA